TACAAAATATTCATAAACATGAAAGCCAATCTATGCACATTCATGGTCTTTCTTCTATGACTGATGGGACATTGAATAGATATTACCCCATACTTCCCATTTGATGACAAAAATTAAGCCCCCTGCCATATCCTGCAAGAGGAATTTATAGCCAAAAAAGATGAATTTTGCAGCCTGGCACTAATGCATGTGTTAAAGGCATCCATTTTGTGTGAAAACATGTGAAGAAAAACAAATAATTACAAGTCTTATCTTTAATTATTATTATAAACTTTCTTATTGAGAAACGCTTTAAGTACTGGTACTAGGAGTAAGGCCCTATTTTTGTCTTGTCTTAGCTTTAATTATTATTATAAACTTTCTTATTGAGAAACGCTTTAAGTACTGGTACTAGGAGTAAGGCCCTATTTTTGTCTTGTCTTAGCTTTAATTATTATTATAAACTTTCTTAAGATTGTCTTCGGGTCCATAGAAATATAATGTTGATTATTTGTGAAATGTGAGAGAAAATTTTGTATTTTTCAACTATTGCATAACATTTATCAAAGAACTCCCGTAAAGTGGGGTGACATTGCACTTCGAGTGTGACTTTGCACAGTTTTCAGATTTTTATTTAGATCAATGTATTTCAGAGTAATACAATGTTCATAATCTAAAGTGTTTGTTTTCTATTAGAGACACTTATTAGCTATAACAGACATTAATTTTCAGCCATCTTAGTCCTCCACTGCTTCAGTTATCTAGTCACATGTAACCACAGAATATTTTGAGTTTATTTTTCACTTTGAAACTTTATGGTAAAACAAATATTACATATGTATAGAGTAACCCAGGTTTGAGTATAGGTAATATATGTTATATCCTTAATCTAAAACTGTAATTAATTTGGTAATAGTATGTTTAGTATTTTTTAAAAATCATCTTTTCCCACCAGGGTCTTTTTTCACCAAGTTGTGGGGTGATTTTGCACAACCTTTATTCCATTTGATGTGGCCTTTTTAATGGCTTTAGCCCAATTTTCATTTGATTACAAATAATCATAATTGTTTTATTCTCTTGTAGTGATGATACAGTGCCCCTAATTCTCACTTTAACTTAAATTATAAAATGCCAAGACTATATAAACGAAAGTTAGGATCTCGAAGATATCGGGATTATACAGCTGAAAAACTTGAAGCTGCAATTGAAGATGTTCGAAATGGAATATCATATAGACAGGCTGGGGAAGCCCATGGAATTCCTTTCAGAACGTTGAAAAATAAAATAGATAAAAAGCATACAAAAAGAGCTGGCGGTCAAACTATATTTTCCGAAGAGGAAGAACTGCAATTAGTAAAATCTTTAAAAGATATTTAATTTCAAGTAGCCGAGGTGTTAATTGACTCTTTAAATATTCTATTCGTTACCTGTTCTGACACACATTGCTAGTCAACCCTAATAATACATTGTGTTACACAAGTTTGAATTTGACGATCTTTCGATGAACGGTTTTTGAGTTATTGCCCTTGACTTAGGAAAAACGCGTCAAAATTTGTTTGTGAACACAATAGAGACTAGTTTTCAACTGATTTTAATGAAACATGGTGTGATCATGTATATTGATGTGATAATTTGATGTATTTGGGTTATTGATATTGATTTAAAAATTTGATGGAATAATTAATGGCAGTAAATATAGATATCATTGAATTCAAACTATTAAAATTTCTTTAATATGAGAAAATTCATACTGTAGTCACTAAAGACTGTTTTATCATTTCTGACAGCTTCCAGTGGGCGTATGTTACCTTGCCTGGCAAGCTATCTTTTGCATATTTGTTAAGCCCTTTGATATGTCTACGGATAGTAGGTTAAGGTATACCATATTTTCGTGACGCTGCATTAAAGCCGATGCCATTTGTTTTTAATTCTGCATGGCAGCGGGTGTGGTCCAATTTAAAGCTGTGGTTGGTTTGAAAAACAGTCAATATACTGTTGAGGATGACAAATGCTAACTAGGCCTACAAGGTTAAAAGGGGAATTAGCCTAATTAACAAATATCAAAACGGCGGCTAAAATTCAAATCAACCAGTCATAAACAGGATATAATAAAATCCACTTGCATCTTGGCCGATTTTTATTGGTAAGACAGCTGGGCCCTATCAAAACCTATCATATACATTATTGTCACTTTGTTGTCAGAAAAATTACTATTTTTAGGCTATAATACGTGTTATTTACCTGCCAGCATAGTTTTATGAGCAGACAATGCATTGAAAGGAAAAAATTTGTTTTTATCTGATTTCGGATCAAAACGGTAGGCCAAGCTATTCTTACAAATTTGAGGGGTGAAAATCATATTCAAACTTTTCTTCCAACGAGATCTTTTAAACCAAACACTTATTTTTGTCTTGTCTTAGCTTTAATTATTATTATAAACTTTCTTATTGAGAAACGCTTTAAGTACTGGTACTAGGAGTAAGGCCCTATTTTTGTCTTGTCTTAGCTTTAATTATTATTATAAACTTTCTTATTGAGAAACGCTTTAAGTACTGGTACTAGGAGTAAGGCCCTATTTTTGTCTTGTCTTAGCTTTAATTATTATTATAAACTTTCTTATTGAGAAACGCTTTAAGTACTGGTACTAGGAGTAAGGCCCTATTTTTGTCTTGTCTTAGCTTTAATTATTATTATAAACTTTCTTATTGAGAAACGCTTTAAGTACTGGTACTAGGAGTAAGGCCCTATTGTAATTGAGCTTTCTCATTTCAGAAATATTCAAAATAAAATCTTCATCTGTAAACTTAAAAAGTTTAGTCTTGAAAATATGTAAATAGTGTTCAGAAGTACTATAATGTACGAAAACCACACAATTCCTTTTAAAATATCTCAAACTAGGAATTTTACTCACTATTTCTATATATATATCGGATAATTCTGTACACACATGCAGGAGACGGGGCTGCTGCTATGTGGGATTCTTTGGGACTTTTTTTCTGAGAAGTCTACATTGTCTGAGCAAAGTCAAAAAGTTTTTTGAATTTTTCCAATTTTTATTATTATGAGAATTGGAATAGCAGCCTCAAAATAGTACTGTTAGTCTAAGAATGTCTTTGCATTGATAAAAATATAATCATGAGCACACATTATGTCTTCAAATTTCGTTTGTACTGAGACCAAAATTTGTGACTTTTTTGGGTTGAAATTTCTATGAGAGAAATGTGTTTCTATTCAATGTAGACATACAAAATATTATATTTTTATCAACGCAAAGACACTCTAAAACTATCAGTAGGCCTACTATTTTGTGGATGATATTCAAATTATCCAAAAAAATATCGAACAAATTAAGAAAACTTTTTTATTTGCTCAGACAATAGGCATGTACTTTGAAATAAAAATCATTTCTTTGGGAATTTTTTTCCCAGAGTTCTCCTACCAGGCTAGTGAGATATTGAACATTTTCAAATGCTCATAATATCATGGACCTATTTTTCAGCCAGCCAAACATGGAAGAAAGAACACCAAATCGACCAACTCAAGATAGCATACCAGAAAACAGTTTAATTCAAGCTGCTTCAAGGGATTTCCAAAATCTTAAACCAACAATTGCTTCAAAAGATTTTGAAGATAGAAAATCAACAGACAAAACCTTCTGTCCAAATCGCTCTGAAACCAAGAAATTTTTGCCATTAATTCATCTGCCACAATACCGGTATAGAAGAAATAGAAGAAGTATAGGAAGTGAATATTTTCCCTGGAGGTAAATTTTGTATTTTAACCTAGTAGAGCCCTGGTTCCCAACCTGGTTTGAAAACACCCCCTGAGGGTGTGGGGCTGGGGTGTCAATGTTATGGCCAACACTTGCAGGAGAAGAATTTATCTTTGGGGATCTATATTAAGGTCGATCTTATAGTGCATGTTTTTCAATCAATTGGTGTGAGACAGGCACTACCATAGATCCAACCTAGACCGGTAGAGAGATTATTATATATTAAATATACACGGTATATATCAAATGATTGCTCTGAAGGTTTGAGGGCTGCAACAAAGGTTGGTAACTACTGTAGTAGATCTTTTCTGTTCACCTAGATCTAGCCTACTTACCCTAATACTTGTATCCTTATTTATCTGTATTTTTATACGCCCACGTCCCATCGTCCCTGTCCGTCCGTCCACCTTTCTTGTAGGCACAAAAGAGACTACAATTTTTAACCAATCCTATTGAAATTTTGTATGCATGTACATAGTGATGAGATCTCAGTCAAGTCCGAAATTGGTAAGAATACGATGAACAGTTGCAGAGTTATTGCCCTTGACTTAGTGAAAACGCATCAAATTTGGCTTGTAGACAGGACATCGTCCACAGTTTTTATCTGATCTTGATGAAACTTGGTAATTATGATATATATTGACCAGATTGCGGTCCATTTCGAAATTGGTAATAATTGGATAAACGTCTTTAGAGTTATTGTCGTTGTATGTGTGTGGATGAGACCATGTTCATGTTTGAAATGATAATTCAATGAATTGTTTTTGAGGTTTTGTGTTGACTTTTGATTTTTTATTATTAAGCCACTTAAGATTTTGTTATCATTTCTGACAGCTGGTAGTGGACATATGTTACCTTGCCTGGTAAGCTATCTTCTATACTTACCCTCATGTTGGATCTAGTTTACCTATCCCTATATTGGCTCTAGTTTACCTAGGCTTATGTTGGCTCTAGTTTACCAATCTTAATGTTGGCTCTAGTTTACCTAGGCTTATGTTGGCTCTAGTTCACCAATCTTAATGTCGGCTCTAGTTCACCAATCTTACTGTCGGCTCTAGTTTACCAATCTTAATGTCGGCTCTAGTTCACCAATCTTAATGTTGGCTCTAGTTTACCAATCTTAATGTCGGCTCTAGTTCACCAATCTTAATGTTGGATCTCGTTCACCAATCTTAACGTTGGCTCTAGTTTACCAATCTTAATGTTGGCTCTAGTTCACCAATCTTAATGTTGGCTCTAGTTTACCAATCTTAATGTTGGCTCTAGTTCACCAATCTTAATGTTGGCTCTAGTTTACCAATCTTAATGTTGGCTCTAGTTTACCAATCTTAATGTTGGCTCTAGTTCACCAATCTTAATGTTAGCTCTAGTTCACCAATCTTAATGTTGGCTCTAGTTCACCAATCTTAATGTTGGCTCTAGTTTACCAATCTTAACGTTAGCTCTAGTTTACCAATCTTAATGTTGGCTCTAGTTCACCAATCTTAATGTTGGCTCTAGTTCACCAATCTTAATGTTGGCTCTAGTTCACCAATCTTAATGTTGGCTCTAGTTTACCAATCTTAAAGTTGGCTCTAGTTTACCAATCTTAATGTTGGCTCTAGTTTACCAATCTTAATGTTGGCTCTAGTTTACCAATCTTAATGTCGGCTCTAGTTTACCAATCTTAATGTCGGCTCTAGTTCACCAATCTTAATGTTGGATCTAGTTCACCAATCTTAATGTCGGCTCTAGTTCATCAATCTTAATGTTGGCTCTAGTTTACCAATCTTACTTAATGTTAGCTCTAGTTCACCAATCTTAATGTTGGCTCTAGTTCACCAATCTTAATGTTAGCTCTAGTTCACCAATCTTAATGTTGCATCTAGTTCACCAATCTTAATGTTGGCTCTAGTTTACCAATATTGATGTTGGCTCTAGTTCACCAATCTTAATGTTGGCTCTAGTTCACCAATCTTAATGTTAGCTCTAGTTCACCAATCTTAATGTTGGATCTAGTTCACCAATCTTAATGTCGGCTCTAGTTCATCAATCTTAATGTTAGCTCTAGTTTACCAATATTGATGTTGGCTCTAGTTTACCAATCTTAATGTTGGCTCTAGTTCACCAATCTTAATGTTGGCTCTAGTTCACCAATCTTAATGTTGGCTCTAGTTCGCCAATCTTAATGTTGGCTCTAGTTCACCAATCTTAATGTTGGCTCTAGTTCGCCAATCTTAATGTTGGCTCTAGTTTACCAATCTTAATGTTGGCTCTAGTTCACCAATCTTAATGTTGGCTCTAGTTTACCAATCTTAATGTCGGCTCTAGTTCGCCAATCTTAATGTTGGCTCTAGTTCACCAATCTTAATGTTGGCTCTAGTTTACCAATCTTAATGTTGGCTCTAGTTCGCCAATCTTAATGTTGGCTCTAGTTCACCAATCTTAATGTTGGCTCTAGTTCACCAATCTTAATGTTGGCTCTAGGTTACCAATCTTAATGTTGGCTCTAGTTCACCAATCTTAATGTTGGCTCTAGTTCACCAATCTTAATGTTGGCTCTAGTTCACCAATCTTAATGTTGGCTCTAGTTCACCAATCTTAATGTTGGCTCTAGTTCACCAATCTTAATGTTGGCTCTAGGTTACCAATCTTAATGTTGGCTCTAGTTCGCCAATCTTAATGTTGGCTCTAGTTCACCAATCTTAATGTTGGCTCTACAATCTTAATGTCGGCTCTAGTTCACCAATCTTAATGTTGGATCTAGTTCACCAATCTTAATGTTAGCTCTAGTTCACCAATCTTTATGTTGGATCTAGTTCACCAATCTTAATGTCGGCTCTAGTTCATCAATCTTAATGTTAGCTCTAGTTCACCAATCTTAATGTTGGCTCTAGTTCACCAATCTTAATGTTAGCTCTAGTTCACTAATCTTAATGTTGCATCTAGTTCACCAATCTTAATGTTGGCTCTAGTTTACCAATATTAATGTTGGCTCTAGTTTACCAATCTTAATGTTGGCTCTAGTTCACCAATCTTAATGTTGGCTCTAGTTCACCAATCTTAATGTTGGATCTAGTTCACCAATCTTAATGTCGGCTCTAGTTCACCAATCTTAATGTTGGCTCTAGTTTACCAATCTTGATGTTGGCTCTAGTTTACCAATCTTAATGTTGGCTCTAGTTTACCAATCTTAATGTTGGCTCTAGTTTACCAATCTTAATGTTGGCTCTAGTTTACCAATCTTAATGTTGGCTCTAGTTTACCAATCTTAATGTTGGCTCTAGTTTACCAATATTGATGTTGGCTCTAGTTTACCTACCATAAAACTGGATCGACTTTACCTTTTCTAATACTAATGTTGTATCTTGTTTACTTTCAGTAGTGTTGAGATTGTATATCTGTATTGGTTTTGGATCGTGTTTGCTGTTTATATTAATCCAAGAGATTGATGCCGGTCCATGTGAATCTCAACCTTTTCTGTGCTATATGTGTTAAATTCGATAAGCTATCGAGGATACAAACATTCATTTCTGAACAATAAAAATTACACCATGTGTGAGACGAAGACTGATTTCATCAGAATTGGAGGTGATATAAACACTAATCTAGAGAAGCCAATATCAAGGCAACTGGGAAATATTGAAAAATTTCACTCACATCATTACTCTGAAGAGCATCAAACATTGAAAAAGTCAAAAATAATGGCAGTTTACATTTATATTGCGCCCTGGATAATTTTGTAGGATAATTATGTATATGTATAAATTGTAAAGCCTATTGATATAGTGAATGGAATGGGCTCTAAATATGATATGACTAACTTTTTCTTGTTTTAAAGATGGGTTCCCTTATTTCCATTTATGAAAATGTAAATGGTAATACTTATATGAATAGAAAGTAGAGATGTTCTAATGACTTGGAAAAATACCAGTTTGTCTCACATGACCATAATTTATTTATAGTTAGCTAAATTAGAAGAGAATTCCAATGAGTGACCGATCAAAAAAGGTCAAAAAGTATTTTTTTGTTTATCCAGACTGTACATTTATGATTGGTTAAAATGCTTAATTATATGCAATATGAACATAATGATTTGATTAAGAATAAATGATAATTCATTAGAAACACCAATTAATCAAAAATTTGCTTAATTTGATACTAAAAAATAAGGAAACCCATCTTTAAAGGTGTATCTTTGATTATAAAGTATATCTTTTGAAAATATAGATTGCATGCCCCTAATGGATGTCAACTCTAGGGCTTGTCTCATAAAATTTTTTCAAAACTTCAAATGCACAGGACGCAAATGCCTTCTACTACTTTTTATGAACCTCCACAACGTTTTTTGTCCTTTATTTTATAATGATATAAATAATTTTTCTAATAATTTAATTTTTATATATATATATTTATTTGTAAATTATGCAAGTATGATTTGTGTGATATTAATAAGAATAGATTATGATCAAGAATAAATGAACATATATTAAAATGCTGCCTGGTTCCATTATTGTTATGATTCTTTGTTATAAACTGAGTGTCCAAAAGAAACGGGGATCCTCAGAGTCGACT